TACGCGGTGGCGGCGCGCAACAACAAGGAGAGAAACAAGTGCCCGGGCGGCGCGCAACCAACCGCGCGCGGAGGTGAAGATGCGTGAAAGTGGAGGTGCTTAGTAGCGATCTAATTATCTACGCGGCGGGATGTCGCGGCCTCCCTCTGTGCTTCACCGCATTGAGGAAACAAGAGCAAATTGAAACAAGCTGGATGGCGCTCGCTCGCTCGGTCGGTGCCGAGAGAAGAAAGGTGAATCGTTCCCGACGAGGTGCCACCTTCGAAACAGCTCTCTTCGCCATGATCACCGCGCTGTACAAATACGAGATGTGCCGCGAAAGGAAGATGGACAATTGCATCCTTGTTTGCGATATCGCAATCTTCCTCCCCCCTCCCCCATGACGGTTGATGTAACTGCGATTCGATTGTAAAATCAGCAATTTCAAGAGCACAAAACAGTGACGTTAATAATATAAATTATTATTATTAAAATGATACTGATTTCAAATAAGAATTATTATATTAATTATTATTGATTTCTCATTGCACGTGTGTTTGTTACATGCATTGACGATTTCGCAAGTGTCTCTACAGGGTGGGAATGTTCTGCGGAAGAGTTCTGTCGCGATATTTTTCAAAATGCGTCCTCGCCACGAGTGGCCACGTACATGTGTCCGCGTTTGCGACCCGTCGTAAAGTGTGTTAAACACGTTAGAATCGCCCCGAGGACAGTGAATCGGGCTGTTTCTATCCGATTTAACGCAGGTCACCGATCGCGAGGAATTTCTCATGTCACGCCGCGTTACTTTATTTATCGATTTAAACGTTGCTCGCGACCTTATGCCAGCCGGAGTTACAGAGCACGATCGGGAGAGGATTTTCCGACGTGTCAAATCGATCGATGCATCCCGAACGAACATTGCGCGGTCGCCTCGAACGCATATTATGTATGGGAACATAATAAACTTTCGAGCTTGGAAATATAAAAACGACGAGTCGCAGTCGGCAAAGAAACGCTGTGCTCACCGTTCAACCCTCGTGTACGACTAGAGAGAACAAGAGAGAGAGAGAGAGAGAGAGAGAGAGAGAGAGAGAGAGAGAGAGAGAGAGAGAGAGAGAGAGATTGTAAGGCAAATACCGGGCGATCGAAATTCCAATGATGACGCAACGAAACGCTCGATACGCTCGGCGTGTGAAGATTCCGTGAGATATCGCCGTTCTGAGGACACGTATATACAGTCACGAGAGCATTGACATTACTGTACGCATGACTGTCGCATGTTAATACGCTGTGACACGCCGAGACACAATGGGGAAACGACCGATGAGATACGACGTGCAACACAGATCGCTGACGTGTTTGACATATTTCCCCTCCTCCTCCTCCTCTTCCTTTGCCATACCACTGTACCATCCCAAAACCGATTTAGACCAGTTCGAAAATGAACGACCGCGTCGCGTCACCCACACACGCAGCGCATATAGCGCTCGTAAAATGCATCTCTCCCGATATCAGTGTCTAAATAAAGTCCCCCGCGTATTACGTTCTAGGCGGGCAATTAACTCGCTACTTGATTAACTGGGTAGAGCCTGTCAACTTTTGCGGAGGTGGACTCTTCGCGGAGCGAAGAAAGGAGCGGCGAGGAAGACGGCTGAGGTAAGAAGAAGAAGAAGAAGAAGAGGAGGAGGAGAAAAGTCGGACTCTCGCGAGGGCATCGGAGGCATACGAAAGGGGAGTAAAAGACGAACGTGCGGGAGGAAAGAGCGCGGGGGCCTGCTGCTCCTCGACGTAGAGACGTAGCCGAAGAGGAAAAAAGAGCAGGGTGGGAGGAGCGGTGAAGGGAAGGGCAGAAGGAACCGTCCACGGGTGACGGTCAGCGAGCGCGAGGTGACCCCTGACCCTTCGTGCGTCTTCGTCTGCGTCCGGCATCGCACGGTCGAGGCCTCTCCGTCTCACTGGCGCGGGACGGAGAGAACGACTCTGTGGGGCCCTCCGTGAGGGCCCAGCGTGGGCGAAGCTTACGCGCGGGGGAGTAAGAGGCGGCTAGGGAGAAGAGGAGAGCGGGAGGAGAGAATAAGACGAGGGAGAGGGACCATGCGGGGGGAAGGGGTGACGAGTTGGCCCGCGGGCGTCCCGGGACCGTGAGAACACCACCTATAATATTATTTAGTCTGCCCGATGCCTCTCTCGGTTCGCCTCTCTTCTTTCTCTGTCTTTCTTTCCCCCTCTCTCTTTCTCTCTCACTCTTCCACTCCCGCCCTCTCCACCGCCCTCGGTCTCTCTTACCGCACCCTTTTCCACTCGGATCGTCTCTCTTTCGCCTTTCCTTGGTTGGAGTCCTCCTCTCTCCTTCTATATCGTACTCCATCGTACTCTCCCTCCCCTTCTTTCTCGCTCTCTTCTTCTTCTTCTTCTTCTTCTTCTTCGTCGTCTCCCTCCTCTCTTGCCGGTTACTCGCTCTTTTTTTCCTTGTCTCATGTGCGCGCACGAGAGAGCGCGCGCGTACGGAATGTCTTTCTCTCTCTTTCTCCTGCGCTTTCGGTGCGCCAAGGCACCGAAGAGGCAGCTAACTATAGGCGCTATACACGGCTTACTCGCGCGCATTAATTGCCGTCGTAAATTGTTGCGGCTTTGCCGAGTCCGAGTTGAGTCGGAACGAAGCCGCGCGGCACACGAGGCGCGCGGTACCGCGCGGGAGAGAGATGCCTTTTTTTCTCTATTCCACACCGCGGCGAGGGGCATTACTATTCACTCAGCTTCACCTCACTTCCATGGCGAGCATTGAGATATTAGAAACTCGAGTCAATCGCACGCACGATCGCTCGCACGACCGTGCTGCTAACAGCGTTAAAGATACTCGCTCCAACGCGCGCGATATATCATCGGCCTATCTCGCGTAATCTTTGTCTTTGTGTAGGTTCCCGAAGAACCACGTTCGCTAATTTGCAATCCCGACGAAAGATTATTGCTCCGCTGTTCGCGTTCTGATTAGAACACGATAATAACGAGCGTACGGGGTAGTCAGTCAGTCGGGTCCAAGTGTACTCTATCCACACCTTTCCACCCAATATCCTCCATAATGCAGCGAATCCCAATATTCGAATATTCAAGTGAGCGAAAGTGCAAAGTATGCATAATTATTCTGCGCACGAGAAAAAAAAAGCAAAGAACCTTTTAGGACCGGTTGATGCGTGAGAAGTGGTCGAGCTTAATGTTAATATTCACACGATATTCTTTAAATGGATAAATAACTTTTCAACAACGACACGGCTCACACATCCCCGTAGCGAAACGTGACTTTCCGCCGAACAATGAGCCGCGAGACGTCCGTGAGACATTCGCCAATCGAACGCGAACGAGGCGAGCATTCATGGGTCAAACAGCTGTTGACCCGCGAGAGCGCGATCGCGATTCGCGTTTCCGGATTCCCCCGCACGCACGCACGCACGCACGCACGCACGCACGCACGCACGCACGCGTCCGCGCTCGACGTCGCGGCCCGCAACAGCACCTACATATCCACGACAATCCCCGCGAACGCGCGGCGGGTCCATCGAAACGAAGCACAGCGTGCCGGCGATTGCGCGGGCCAGCTGTGGTTCTCTCTCCTGAATCCGGGGTCCGTTCCCCGCATGGACAGGCCCATTTTGACTCGGATACCTGCCACCAGGTGGCTCCACCAGCAATACCCAGCAGCGGCAGGTAGGAGCAGTCTTCGGGGCGCCTTCGAACTGCCAACATCGCGCGTGTGCACCCTCTCTTTGCCGTTTCCGCAGATACGTACGACCACGGGTGTCCGGTGTCGACGACTACAGGGGGACGCACGTTCCCGTGCACCGATGGAAAGCTGCGAGAACACGTGATTGCGCGCGGGCGCGAGAGATCGAGCTCGTGCTGCAGTGTGAATAATCGAGCGAGAAAGACGCGAGGTAGCGGATGGCCGCCGGCGTGTATCCACGTTGCGTCACCCGTCAGGACCGGTCGGGATAAGTCCGGGGTGTGCCATCGATCGCCTTCGCCAATGATACCGGCGGAACAAGGGGAGCGCGCGTTCCAGAGGCTAATCCGGGACGGTTACAACGACAGTGGAGGATGCAGCAGCAGCAGCAGCAAGAACAGCAGGAACAGGAGCAAGACCAGGAACAGCGGAGATTCATAATGGTGCCTTCGTCCACTCCTTCCTCTTCGTCGTCGTCGTCGTCGTCGTCGTCGTCGTCGTCGTCGACCTCATCGACCGCGATCGCGACGGATTTACGCGATACCGACGTCGTCGCGGGACTCGTGACGGGCTCGGAACTGCCGAATCTGGCGCTCCAGAGCGTCGCCTTGCGACTCCAGGGCGCCCTCCTCTCCGCCCTGCAACGCGCAGCTCTCTTGCCACCGGGTCACGCCGCCGCGGCGGCCCTGAACTTGCAAGCGCTCGAGACGTACCTGACGCTTCACCGTCTTCACGCGAGCGGTGCGACTTCCGCGCAAGCGGCGGCGGCGGCGGTGGCCGCAGCGGCTGCCTCCACCGCTGCGACCACTGCGGTCACTGCTGGTGGCCAAAGGTGTCCGTCGTCGTCGTCGAGCGTGAACATTGTCGAAAACGCGACGCTGAGTCCGACCGCCGCCGTCAAGAATGACCATCTCGCCACTGCCGATCAGCTGCTGCGATCGGCCGCGTCGATCGGCGAGGTTGATGAGGCGCGGCTGGACTTCGTCACCGACGCCGAGGAGGACCTGGCGCTTCTCGAGGAGGAGGAGGAGGAAGTGCTCTTGCGCGACGCGTCCGACGCAGCCGTCGCTTCCACCGCGAACCACGAGTTGCTGCTGCGACGGATATCCGAGGGGAATCGCGCCAGCACGTCGACAACGACAGTGTCGCAGTCGCCGTCGTCCACCCTGACCGCGACGCCCTCGTTCGCGTCCTCGGCTTCTTCGGGCTGCTCTTCGGCCTCCTCCTCTTCGTCCTCCTCCTCGTCGTCCGCGCAACACGCACCGACCGGTGCGGTGGACTCGAGTGTACCACGGACTTGCAGAACGTCCCGGCCCAAGAAACAGTTCATTTGTAAGTTCTGCAGTCGGCAGTTCACCAAGAGCTACAATCTGTTGATCCACGAGAGGACGCACACCGACGAGCGGCCGTACTCGTGCGACATTTGCGGCAAAGCTTTCCGACGGCAGGACCACCTCCGGGATCACAGGTAACGACCGGCATCAACCGTCTAACTTGTTAATTACGCGAAAGTCGATCATGGGAATTGCTGACACTTTTGAAGGATGGGGATGAATTGGAAACGTATGGAATAATAATATGTACGAATAAACTTTTGTCTGAGACCGCGTCTGTCGCGATTAATGGCGAATAGTTATGTCAGATTGCATTTGCGAATGTTAACTTTGCGTTTATTGGCTGACAGAGTCGTACGCGTTAACATGCGCGTTTACCAGCTAACGTGATTTGCACGTTGAGTTATTAGCGACAACAGAGCGCCGTGTATATCTTCGGTCTCGCCACCGCGAGACATTGTTAATCGCGCGCGATTAAGGTAATCGTGTTTTATTCCAATTTATCTATATCCTGCCGCAGTGAGAAAGAGAAGCATGTGTCGTAATGTGACGCGCGTTACGCAACGATGCCGGGAGCTTAGCGTTGGCGCATAAAAGCGCGACGGTATGCATGCTGGAGATAGGGTGATTTACCGAATTCACTGCCTCTTCGTGATGGAAGGGTTTAGAGAGACCGCGGTTATTTATCTTTTTACCGCGTCGCGCGCAATTAATTACAGTCGGCGTACAATTTATGAACGGATAAATCCGAGGAACGCCTTTCCCTCCTCGCGTAATTACCGCGATGATCGAATGACGTGTATATTATATTTAATGACCAACGTGTCATAACTCATTCGTTTCACCGTGCTTTTATCGTCGCGATGATCGTAATTTTTACTGAAATAATCACGTCAATTAAGGCAACGTTGCCGTCGTATTGCCGGGGGAGAGGAGCATTTCCCTTCTTCCTCTCTTCTGATCACTTCTCAATGTTGCACAAAATCCCGATTATACCGAGTAACAATTAATTCGCGTGGGCGGTCGAAAGAAAGTAGAAAATATGTGACTCTAGGAGATTCGATAAGAACAAAAATTTCCTTCTACGCCGCAGGTATATCCACAGCAAGGAAAAGCCGTTCAAATGCGCCGAATGCGGCAAAGGATTTTGCCAGAGCAGGACCCTGGCCGTTCACAAGATCCTACACATGGAGGAGTCGCCGCACAAGTGCCCGGTCTGCGCCAGAAGCTTTAATCAGAGGAGCAACCTCAAGACTCATCTTCTAACTCACACGGACATTAAGCCCTACCACTGCACCTCCTGCGGCAAAGTCTTCCGCAGGAACTGTGATCTGAGACGACACTCGTTAACCCACAATCTGGGAGTACCGTCGTCGTCGTCGCCGCCGCCACCACCGTCGGGCATACCCGTCTCGGGCACGAGCACCGTCGTTCTCCAAGAGACGTCCTAGTGCGTCGCGCCCGAGGCGAGAAAATCCCGGCGGGATCGCCGTGCGGCGCGTGGGACTTTCTCCATCCCGAGGACGCGGATCGACGCTCATTTATCACGAACGAGAGACGCGGCGCTGAATCGATCCTTCGAGTCGCGATCGATTCCCCGATGATGGTCGATTTGGACGCGCGCCGCCGCCGCCGCCGGATTTCGATTTCTATGCGCGTACTCGGGCCCTCCGCGCGACTCTCATTGTATCTACCTGCCTACACTCTATCTATCATCGTTAACGTTCGAGCGTAATCATTGTTATGTACATCACGATATATAAGGCCGTATACGGATTCGTCTAGATCTGTAATTGTTCTGTGTATGCGATACGCGGTATAGGTATTCCGCAATCACGTTTGTAATCGGCCAAGGGGGGAGGGATACCCCGCTCGCCCTTGTCCTTAAACTGTGTATTTTTACGTGTCCGTTGTGTTCTGTCTTCCTTTACACACGTGTAAAAAAATATATATAAACATTTATTATTATTTTTTAACTCACACTCTGTCGTCTGCACCCTCGCCTTCATTCTCCTTCTGCGTCCCCTCTGCGCGCAACATCGCAACGGCAGTTGAAGTAAATCTCCCCCGAGTCTCCCATCCGCGGAATGCGCACTCACGGAGCATTCGTTCGAACGAGTTCGTCGCGCGAGTATACCCACCCGACCGAATTCCATTCCCCCCTCTAATATCAAACCGGGAGATTCTTGTCTGCTTCTTTTATCCGTTCCACATATCCAGGCTAGGTATAAGCTGATGACGGGCCGAAGAGAAGGAGAGACAAAAGGATATGCTGGGCGTAGAGGAGAAGTTAAAGAGTGAGAGGTGTGGAGGAGGAGGAGAAGGAGGACGAAACGCGTGTATTGTGTTACAAAGAACGGGGCCGCCAGGTGCGCAGGACATGACACCGCGATACGTCTAGAGTTACGTTTCTTTTCTCGAAGGTGCCGGTCAGATGGTGGTGATGATGATGATGGTGGTAGTGGTGATGGTGGTGGTAGTACAGGAGGAAGAAGAGGAGGAGGAGGAAGAGAAGAAGGAGGTGGTGGTGGGTCCAGAACGGCGCTATTTCGGGTATACTCGGGGGTACGACGTCCCGAAGCCGGCGAGGTCTCCTCGCGTCGATAAGGAGAATCCTGCACGACCGGTCGACAACACCGCCCGCCGCCGCTCGTCCAAAAGGAGCACACGGTGTCCGTTGCTTGTCCATGTATGCGCACGTAAACCCGGACTCCCAGGCGAGCTTTCATAAATTCTTAGCGGTGGACGTTTTACCGCGAATTACGGCCCGTCGTTTTACTGCAAAACCCGGCGTGTTGTTGGCAAAATCGTGTTTACGGCGTTGGGATGCGCGTATGGCGCTTACGAAGACGAACGGAGGCTAGCAAAAGGACACCCGCTGCACAGGGAGAACGCACGACAGGAGAGAGAGAGAGAGAGAGAGAGAGAGAGAGAGAG